TCAAAATATACTTTGGTCCATGAAATTGCCCCCTCTTCTTCTTCTTACTCTTTGGGAGATGATGCACACAAGATGATGTCTGGACCTCGAATCTTCGCGCGTATAAATGTAACTTGGTATCTTAAAAAGTTTGATTGGGAGGGGGAGAATTTATATGATTCGGAACTAGCTCAGAGAAAGCAGTGGAGACGTGCCTGCAAGCCTGCCCATAAATATGTAAGCGTTTGGAATTTGACCTTCTTTCGTATCTTAAGTTTTAAAACAGTCTTTAGAAAAGGAGTGCACCAACGAAGGCGTTTATTGACCCCCGACTAAAACGACTTGGTTTTACCCGAATGACGAAGAACATAATTGATGCTTAAATAGCAAATTCTAGCGGGAGCAGCATTCTCCTGAAAAGTCCAGAATACCATAATATATCGTTTTCATGTTCGTTGCTTACAAGTGAGGCAATTTCATTTAAGTAATAGTCTCGTTCGGAATATGGGTTTGTATACTTCGCAAATTATTCAACGTAAGAAGAACTAAAAACCCTGAATCTGTGCCCATCAGACTCTCTGTCGCAGAAATTGCGATTTCTGATGAGCAATGAATAGATATGGCATAAGTGTAATGTTTTGCAGTCACCAATTTCCTTAGAATAGGAATTTCTGACGACGAATCAGAATAAGAAGAGTGACAATGGGCTGAAAACATTCTTCTGAATTCTGTACTGAGCATTTGAAATGAACGCGCCATGCGAATTCTTCTGAATTTCCGAACTAATCGCGAATGGAAAAATTCCCGAACCCACTTACGAAGTTTAGACACAATGCCTACCCTTGACACCAGGTTGTAGCGAGTCGCAAAGGATAATGGCCCGTTGGCACAGGCAAGGCCCAGAGCCAAAATCGGGACGCAAACAAAACTGCGGTGAAATATTAAGCTCCTACTTTTAAAATATAAGTAACATTTTAAGGTAGGCACCCATTGCGTTTTTGCCCCGAGTATTGACATTCCACACAAAAAGGCTGCCAGCAATGGGTGTTCTTCATCCAAGTAAGCAATCCTCAAAGCAATGTTTAAAATAAGACAACTCACCCAGGCCCTCAGTTCGAAGAAAATACAGGAAATCGAGCGCCAACTTGTCAGGATTCTCCTCCATTAGAAAGCCGGTGCAGTCGGGAACCTAGAACATAGGAGGTTGAGGGTGATTACACCAAGACTATGCGAATTAGAAGACCACAAAGAAGAAGTCTATGACAATGTTGGGAATTGCCAATAGTAGCGAATATTCGAGTCCCAGGAAGCAGTTCAGAAGACGAAGATGCGAGCGCTGGTGTACTGAGAAATTTCCTGAGCAAGAGAATCAGTCACGTGGGAAGGACTGGCCAGAATAAAATCCGACGACAGCGGGCATAATTGTCGCGCAATTACCAAACCTGCATCCGACGCGGACAGGAACGCTGCGGCAATTAATGAGCCATCACCGCACCAATTAAGAC